ATTGGCATAAAAGCATCATCTCTTAGCTTTTACCAGGGCTTGAACACTAACCACCAGCACAAATGAAACAAAGCTTTCACAGATAGCTTCTAAAGAAAATTTTTCCTGTTTTTTGTCTACAAATTACAGATTTGGAAAGAGGAAATGTGAAATGAACAAATACTCGAGACTCAGCCTACTTCTCCACTTCCAAAAATGGTGGATAAAAATATAAAAAGAGTTGCAGATGAATTATTGTCCAATAATCTGTTTTGGAAATATGTATTACTAATGTTTATATTACAGAAAAAAAACAGGTTTATGTTTTGATTTAGGACAAAGTAACCGTGATAAAAAAAAATAAACCTTTGCATTTTTAACTAATTCTTTTATAGTACATAATTTTTATATCCATTTTTATGATGATATAAATACTTTACGTTTAAGTGTAATGTTAATACTTTCCAATCAATTTTTAATTCAACATTCAGATTGCAAGACATAACTAAAACCATATTTCATGAAAACAAATCTTACTTTACATACTGAACTATTTTGAATGTCATAATTAAATAGTAAAATGATATTCATTAATATCGGTTACTTATGGACATGTGTAAAAATTGTTGCCAAGTGAAACTATTGAACTCAAATAAAGAAGATAAGTAAAAAGTGTAATTTATAAAGTTTGTAAACATCAAGAAGCAAAATATTTAGAAAAATAAAGGGAGAATTTTAAAATCTGGTCTCCTTGAGAACCAGTACACAACTTTATATTACACAACACTATATAAAAATATGAATCAATAAAATTGTAATGATAAAATATCTTGTCTCTTTATTCAGCTACCTTAATTTAAAAAAAAAAAAAAATGTTTATTAATCAATATTGTTAAATATATGAAATTCTAATTATAAAAATATGATTTTTAGTTTCTGTCTGAATTTCTAGCCTGCTGAATTACTGGATTGTTTGGAAAGTTAGTATAGTAATTGTGAGTTCAATCCCTGGGCCAAGGAGTACAGACTTGGAGGAAACAGGGAAAACAATAACTGAGCAATAATAAATAAGAACAAGACAAGATATCTCTATGGATATGGACAGCAAAACTGGAACAATCCCCCAACGTAGATTAAATAAAGGGGTCATTTCAAAATTCCTTAATGGTTACCTGGATCGAACGATATCTGAATGAGGCTGGAAGGCACAATGGCTGAAATGTTTGTGATAACAACAAAAATGAGGACATTAGTCTGACTAAATAATGATTTTCAGTTCATGCAACGAGTGCCAAAGAATTGGAGGTAAAAGCTTTTTGGTAAAATTATTTTACAGAATTATTCATTTATATTAAATAGTTTCAAAGTTAAGACTCTTACGATATTTTATTTTGAGAAAAATCAAATAAAAAATCTTTTAATAGAATTCCTGATAATTTGAGTAAAAGTAAACTTTGAACATATTTCATATAAATAATTCTGTAAAATAAGGATTACTGAGTGTAAAAGAATAAGAGAAAAAGAAAACTATTATTAAGGCGATAGACCAATAAAAGAAGAGGAATTAAGACAGAAGATAATGATTGACATTGCATTTAAATTTTTGAAGATCAAAATTGACTGGAAAGCAAGAGGCCAGAAGAGTGTTCAGCATACAAGAGCGAGAGAAGAAACTGTTAGCATAGAACTTACGGTTATATCTAGCCATATCAACTGTAAAATGATGAGACCAAGCTGCTAATATAGTATTGTACTTAAGTTCATAAAGTCAAAGTACCAAAGAGGAAATGTCATCAGAACAATTATCATTAAAATATTTATAGAAAAGGCACAGGGGTGATATATTACAGTGGTGGGAAAGTGACTGAAGCTGATATGCCAGTTCAGGACTGATAAAATTGCAGATTCCTCTTTGGATTTTATCAAGAATCTCTAAATACATAGAAGCACCATACCAGATGTGATACCAATGGTCAATGAATGGATGAATGGTAAGTTTATGTGTAAGAATTATTTTAATTAAAAAAGGAATTATCATAATATTAATATTATATTATGAATGTTATTGTCCATTTATGATAGACTTGATACATACATCTTTATATTTTTACATGGAAATATCTTCATTTTGTAAAAAAAAAAAAAAAAAAAAAAAAAAAAAAAATTAAGTTAATAAAGTTTGCACTTTTTTCTTTCATACATTACAGCTACAAATTCTTACATATAAATAAATTAAAAAAATCTTAATATTCCTTCCTGGAATTTCTTCTATTTCAAGAAAATAGAAACACAATTGACTAGTTTCTTCCATTCTTCTTTCTCCAATGATCTTAGTTCTTCACTTGTCAAGCTAGTATCATTTGTTAGCTGATAACTGATCCATATACAAAATGCTAAGAAACAATCCTGAGTGTACCTTTTATATATATATATCATCAAACAAAATGCTAAATGCAATAGACAAAGATGAATGAGGATACTGTGATCAAGAGAGCGAAAGGAGAGCAGGAGACGAGAAAAAGATTTCTAATAAAATAAAACCAAAAATTCAAACAAAACTATAAAGGATTTTTCTTCAGAAGAAAAAGACTTTCTTATTCATTTATTTGCTTTTATTCAAAGCATGCAGCGATATTTTTTTAAAACTATAATCTGAAACAAAATTGCATAACTGAACAAAAAGTAATATTCTATATAAATCTGAATGTATAGATTTTAGTAGAATATAATAAAAGCAATTGTATTCAAAATATAAAATTTCCAATATTTTTATTGATAATCCTTTACATGAATAAAATTTTTAATTCTAGTTAAGATTTGTCTTCATTGTTCAGTAGTGAATTGAGATCAAAGTAGATATTTTTTTTTATTATTTAACACTTGCCAAATTTCAAGAGTTTTATAGCACTTTGTATCATCTACACAGGTAAATTGGGCCACTAGAGACATCAGTTAAAATCCAGGTGAGTCTGTGGGCTGGTGCCAACTGATGACTAGTCAGTCAGCTGATAACCTGATTAGCCTTGAACTACTTTTCTCAGGGGTTTAAATATCCCAACACCTCAGCTGTATAGATTGACTGTACTCACCAGAATCATAGTCTACATTAATGAGCCAATTATTAGTGTTTTCACAGATTGTTTTGGGGTTACACATACAATCTCATTTGATATCCCAGCAGAAATTAGCTATTGTAAAAGTTATATATATATATATATATATATATATATATATATATATATATATATAATTTAATAGAGTATTTATCACACTAACTAGTCTGTATGAAGTTTCTAGGATGTTATAAATTGATAAGGCGACTGATATTCGTCAATGGGGGTTAACAGCTCTTTACTGTTACTACCACCTGAGCAGATAAGGTAGTTATAGGAGAGTGGTTTGCTAAAGCTTCCACTTATTCTGATCTCCTTCTCCTTAGTGCCATAAGACTCCCCTGTGAAGTATATGGCCACAGCCTCACTACAGCACCTGTTGCTGCAGTGGTTTTTATGGCAAGTAGGTTTTTTTATGAGTTGGACTTATTAACTCTTTAGACTCCTTTTTGGAATATAGGGTCTCAGCCTCACCACTGCTGCAGTGGTTTCTAGATTTTTATATAGAGTAATGTTGCTAGCTCCATGCCCAACTAATTTTGAATTAAGAGTTAGACTCTTCTCTTATACTGGTTGCCAACCAAAACTAGAGAGCCCTACTATTTAATTCATAGCTGGGGAGAGAATAAATAGATTTATACCATTCTCAATGGTATTTGTGTGCAAGTGAATGCAATTTGAAATCAGCATGATGATAATTGCTATGCTACACATCCACCTGTTATATCAATTATAGAATGTTTCATTAAGATAATTGGCAATAGGATAAAAGGATAATGTGTAGGGAGAAGTGGATTCATGGCTTTCCCAAGAAAACAAATATGAATGTAAATCATCTTAGACAGGATTTGAACTCAGTTTGCCAAAATTATTTTCTAGGTTTTTCTAATATTTTTTTAAATAATTCTTTTCAACAGTCTTTGCTGTAGTAAGGCATAAGTTCTGTATATTTTCATTGCTAGCCAATAGATTTGATAGGAACTATTCTTTCATAGACTAAAATAGAAATTTAACAGGATTCAACATAAGTGTGAGTGATCTAAGAGTGGAATTGACAATTCAAGTTCAAATTCAAGTTAGGATTTTGTATTTCTTTTGCACAAATGCTCTTGGGTTTGGTTTGGCTTTTGCTCAACGGTCCTTCAATCATTATAGGGTTATTTAAAGCCAGATAAACAAATGCTCTTGGGAAAGGCATGAATCAACTGTTGCCCTGGTGAAGAGTAAATAGTAAGGCAACTGGAAACAATAATAGGTCAAGTATCATTTCTTGCTGCTTGTACTATAAGGAGATGGGCACTGATAAGTAAGTCCATCATAAGAAATTATTCTACCTAGCAATCCTATGGTCTAATAGAATCATAGAAAGAAATGAACAAAGATTATGTAATGGAGTTATCTATAACAATAATAAAGTTGCATGTAAAAAAAATCTCCAAGGCAAATAAATTTTGTTCTTTAACTTAATATCAACAGGAGAAATTGGATACTCAAATATATTTTCTCGTATTAATAGTTACAATCATTTGTAGTCAAAATATTTTGAGCATCATATTCTCCAATCATCTTCAGGTGTTGTTAACTTTTGCATTTTCATCCTATATATTATTGAGGTCAAAAATACATAGATACATCAATAATGTTGCTGAATGATGAAAAATATTTATTTTACAAAACCTTTATTTTTTTTCATATCTTTGTCAATGTATTTTACTTCAGTGGTGAATTTTAATCACTTAAATTGAACATTACACATTGAAAATTTCAGATCAAAATTCAGCTAATAATTATATGTAAGGAATAGATTTATCGATCCAACCACGTATATCCAAAATGAGGATTGAATCAAATATTTTTTGTCAAATGGTCATGCAATTTATAGGATTTCACAAAATTAAAGTAATGACATTATGGGAGAGAATTGTCTGAGCTCAAAACAAACAAAATAAAAAACTCATCCACTTTTCTAGGAGTGAAAGTGAAAGTAATGATCTTGAGATTTAGATGAAAACTCTTCTTACCTTGACTGTCATCTGAGAGGTCAGACATTGATGGCACCTTTTGCATGTTGCTTGTTACTGCAGGTGTATCTTCACACGCTTCAGACAGATTAAGCAGTGATAGATCATGAACACAATTTGGTTTTAAAGATGCCACATTCTCCCCATAGATGATCTGCCAATTTCAAAAGAAATTAAAATAATTAAAAAAAAAAAAAAAATAATTGATCTGTGAAATAATCAAATTCTTACAAACACTGCCATAATAAGCTCGATATATTGGTTACTTAAATAAAAATAGTTAATTTCTGTTACAGTATCCCTGACTCATCTGTGATGTTGCTTTACAAGATTCCCTGTGGTCAACCCAGAAATAAACAATTCATAATTTTTACTTAATGTTTCCAAAGCACAAGAGTAATGGTTATATTGATAATTCAGATATGCCAAAGAGAATCTTTTAAGCAAAAAAGTGAAAGTTCTTGACTTAATTGAGAAAGAAATAAAAATTGCATACTAAGGTTGCTACCAAGATCTACAGTAAAAAAACTATTCTCTTTGTCACAAAGTTTATTTCAGCAGATTATTAGTAGTTATTGTTGTTAATCTCTTATTAAGTCTAATTTATAAATTAAACTGTATCAGAGGTCATTATTATATACTTTGTTATTTGAACCAGCATGCTGGTCTGAATAGCAAAGCACATGCCAAAAAATTCTGACAAAAATATATCATAGGTCTGTATGCAAAGTGAGGTAAAATACACAGACCAAAAGCATAGTATATAGAGAGGTTAGTAATGATGGTTTTAAGAATCCACTGCAGAATTTGGAACATACCTCTGCAGATAATACTACTCAATCATGTGGATTTAGGATGATTAATCAATATTAGTAATATTAAAATAAGGCTAAAATTGCTATAATTTTTAGTTTTCTGTTGTCAAAAGAAAAATATTATGTTGAGTCATAAGTAATTTCCATTTTTGGGAACCAACTCTAATGACAAATGTATCATCCAATTAACTGTTCTTTAAAAAGATCATAACAGATGACAAAAAAAAATGGGTTATATATGACAATGCTCAACACAAGATAAATCTCCACAACTCCAAAAGCTGAGCACCATGGAGGAAACAATGCTGTGTGTGTAGTCTGATCATCAGGTTATTATTCATTTAGATTTCTTAAAACACAAAACAATTCACATTTATATGTCCAGCAGCTGCAACATGTCCATAAAAGTTTAGTCAAAATTCACCCTAAGCTCATCAACAAGAAAATGTTGTTCTTTATGTGACTGCAAGACTACATCCAGCCAGGATAATAGAGTAAAAAAAATTGGAACTACCAACCACATTGACCTGACCATATACCAACTGATTATTGCCTTTATCAATAGCTGCAAAATATTTTGATGGGAGAAACTTTCTCTAATAAAAAACAAATTCAAGACTAAAAAACTTTTTCACATCAAAACTTGCAGAATTTTACTCAAAAGGTATTTAAGAGCTGCCTGACAAGTGGCAAGAATTCATTGTAAATAATAGTGAATATATAGCTGAATAAAAAGTAATTGTACTTTATTTTTTGAAGTTGATAGAAATTAAAATTATTTATGACTAAACCTAATAGATTTGATCTCCTTCAAAAAATAAGCCAACAGAAGCATTCACCTTCTTCATTAAAAAAAAAAAAAAAATTATGAAAAATGTTGTTAACTTGAAATTGCTAATAAACAGACACAATCCGCCAAACCTCTGGACCTACCATTTACCAGACATGCTGATCCAAGTTATTATCTTGCTGACAGATGCAACTTATTTTCATTACATTGTCAGCATGTGCTTTTATTATCTGATCTAACAGTGCCAAGCAATGTCCTGCTAGTCAACAATCTTTTTTTTTTCCCAACTACAGACACCAATATGCACAGGTGTTGGATATGGATGCTACTACAGTTGCTGTTAGGTGTGCCAAACTGGCAAACACTTGGAGGTATGCAGATAATGCCAGGTTAGAGATGCCCCCAGCCTGGAGTCGATCCAAACAAACAAACAAAAAAAAAACAAAAAACAAAAAAAAAAACAGACATTCTTGCTCACATAATTTTTCTTCTGGGCAGAAAGTCAATCTCATTTCAAAAGTTTTTGCAGATATATTTCCACACTTCAACATTGTGGCTTCTTTTATTTCCATTTTCACATTCTTAAAGCTAATTTGGCTTTTAAAACATGCTGCAGTTTACAAAAACATTATACCAGATTTAAAACAAAGCTCAGCTTCTGTTCTATCAATTTACAAAGTAAATCATCACAAGCTAAAAAAAGTTTAAATACCATACAAAAATGTTAAAGATTTAAAATGTACCACTAGAAATGTAATACTAATTGTCTTTGTCTGGCATTTAAAACATATTTTATAAAATTTTTGTAGAATCCTTATCACTGGTATTCACTTGGTTTTAGTTTAAACTGATACCTTATATATATATATATATATATATATATATATATATATATATATATATATATATATATATTTTCAAAGTTCACATTTTCTTGATTTCAGATAAAAACTTTAAAATTGTCAAACATAAATGAAATGTTCACTTTCTAAAATTATAGTTTATTATTATAGTTTAAATATATACAAAACAATGGCATTAGTTTAAACTGATGCCAGCAGGATAGGAGTTAAAATTGTGAAATTCAAGTTTTGACAAAGTTTTTAAAATAATTTTAACTTTTAGCAAATTTGTTTTCAAACAAGCTGACTTTAAATATCTATTTTACAATATAGAATTTCTGAATACTCAATATTTTTTTTTTAATATTTCTGATTATAGATAATGACTATGAAAGAAGCAGAGCTAATAACATTTTTCATAGAATATATGTAAATGCATCTTGTGTTTAAACAAATGACAATGTGAACACTCACAGGATGACATGTCAGGAAATTCAAAATATATTTATCTTTACTCATTATATAAAAAAAAAAACATTCCAGTAAAATCCTAAGTGGAGTATGTTTGTATACAAAGAAAGATTTTATCAAAAAGAAAAAGGAAAAACTGACCTGGTGAAAGAAAACTGAAGCTGTTCAAAGAAAGATTCTTCTCAAAATAAATGGTTTGTAGAACTGAATTGTGTTTGGCATTTGAAAGATTTCTTAGCAATTCTATGGTAGGTTGTTTTTGGCAAAACCCTACTGGTAGCTAATTGCTGTTCTTAAAGCCAATATTATTGTTAATTTCTTTTATACTTTTTGCTAAAATTTCTTAGTACAGTGGCTGTATAGGTAAGAAAGCATTTTGACACTTTTACCTGTACTATGCTCATTTTTTGCATACATAGGTAGACATTCTTCCATCATGTCTACTGGGGGACAACAGCAAAAATACACTTTTTATGCCTTAAAAACTAAACTTGTTAGTTCTGTAGGTAGTAAAGCAAAGAAAAAGTTGATAAAGTATTGAATTCTTAGAATAAAGAGAATATAATTAATAACTTAAACATACTACTGACTGATATCATTAATCATCTATCAATCTGGTTGTCCTCAAATGAATAATTCTGACCACTTTCCAGCTATTTCTGTCATCCAGAACTACTTAGTTCTTCCTTTCTAATTCTGATGCTGTCTTGAGAAGATTCTCACAGGCCTACATATTGATATTTCCCCATAATTTGGATTTGATAGTATAAACTAATGCACAATTTCTTGTTTACTTCTCTATTAATGGCTACTAAACCACACTTGCCTTTCACAGTTTGTTTTCATAATCTTTGGTAGGTTGCCATATAGTCCTTTATAGGGCATATTTTTTTTTTATTTCTAACTGACATTTAGCACTGTTCTCAATACTTAAGGGTACATAGTATTTAGTTTGTTTTTTGTTGGTGATTTTGTTAATATTCAACTGATTGACCAACCTGTATAAGAGGATTGTTTCTATTGTTGAACTAAACAGTTGCACTTTCAAACTTTTCATTTTTGACTTTAGATAGAATTAGCAATGGTATGAATATCATTTTGTGTGGCGTTCATAAAATGTCTATTTTCAGTGATAATATACATACATTAATTCTTGAAAGTTTGTAATCTAAAAACAGTATAATTTTTATGATTAGTTTCATATTGAGTAATTTCAAATACATTTAAGCTTAGTAAATGTAAAGAATTGTAATAAAATGTGAAACAAGTGTAGAAAATTGTTCAGTTCTGCAAAGGTAAATCCTTCAACATTTGTTAAGAATTTCATAAAATGTTTCTTGCAATTTATTAAATAAATGTATCTGATTTTATGTATTATGAGATTATAGAAAAAATATTGTATTCTGGATTTTCTCAGTCAAAAAAAGATACAATAGTTTCAGTTATAAAAATAATTAAAAAAAAATGCTTTGACCTAATGAAATATTCTGTTGACTTATAAGCAACTTTATGTTCATTTTGTCAATGTGATTCTTCTGAAAGGGTGTCAATTGACATAAACCTTTTTTTTTTGCATGCTTTACCAGTTTTTAAAATGAACAAACTGATCTCTATGAGAAAAACAGACAATATTCTGATATAAAGACTTTTTGGTGAAGTTAAGCCTGAATTACGTTTACTTTGAATTCTTAAGGTTCTTTTTCTCATTTCAAAAAAAAAAAAAAAAAAATATGGACTTATGCTCTTTTAGCAACACACTGATAATTTGATAATAGAAGAATGTAATGGTTGTATTACACAACAGGCACAACTTTTCAGTTTTAAACATTTCATTTCCCAAATGAAAAGTAGAAAGCAAAAATTATTATTTTTCATCAAAATGATAAAATATTTTTTATTTTAATTTGCTTCTATAATAAACCATTGTATAAGAGAACTTCCATTTTAAGGAGAGTAAATCCTTCTGTATCAAACATCTTACCCAAAATAATTTTTAAATAAGTTTCAAGGGAGGTAATTAATGAACTTTAGATTCTATTATCTCATACTTTGAAAATTAGTGAATTATGGGATGAGGATTTATGATTATTTCAATTCAGAATAATGTCTTCATCATTGTTGTTATTCTCACAGCATTTCAACCACTGTATCATCCAGCCTTCTTCAGGTGTCTGTCAATCCAGGTAACAACAGGAAATTTTGAACTGAATACTTTATTTAATGTATGAGAGTAAAT